TTTGAACCTGTAATTTGGAATTGAAAAAAGTATTTGTTAATCTGTCTATGCGAATATTATTAAGCACTGAGATCCGCTTCTATCGAAAATAGGATTCTTTCTTCTATTTAATTTATTCTTGTCGGTCCAATTCCCACTTTAATTAGAAATATTAATTTTAACGTAAAAGTAAGTCTTAATTTTTTAAAAGAAGAACTCGATCCTTTTGAACATAACAAAAGAGAGCATAACATCCTTTTGAGAAATTCTACGCTCAAAACGTTATATTTTTTTATTACTTTCGCAATTCTAATTCTGTATTCTTGAAGGATGCTACGGTCAAGTTTCAAAATGTTTGAAACTGTGAATATCCTGATTTCTCTCGGCAATGCCCATGAATCTGAATATCCAATACTGTTCATATCTTCAGATACGAACGGTATAGCACTGTGTCTTGAATTCCCGTCGGCGAAAGCGAGTGCGGGCTCCCTGCGAACCTGATATAACCCGATATACATGTATATATATCGATATCGAGATGTCTCCGAGAGGGGCTGGATGAGGAACGTTGCGGTGAAGGGTTGATACAGGACAGTCCGAAGTTTACCGACAGCTGGGGGAAGACGAGGGATGACCGTTGGACAATAGGGGGGTACGTTGCCGATGACGAACTCGGCCTGCTTTCAATCCCCGGAGTCGCTCGGGGGTTGCTGAAACAGCCGCAAACAAGGGGGTGGGCGAGTCAGCATTTCCACCATCGACTCCACCATCCAGTTATGTTCCAAACGGTTTACGCATTCCCGAGCGACAAGGGGGTTGGTGTGAAGCACTGGATATTTCTGCTTACGATTATACCGCGTGTTTCGCGATGTTCGATATTCGTCCTTTTAATAATACGCTGGCTACTTCGGGTGCTTGGAAACTCGGAATATTTGCACGTGGAATTTCAACGCAGAATTTCCTGCGAATTGAGAAGAATTATTGTATGCTGATATACACATGATATACGAAATAATATAAAAGTAGAGATGAAATGTTATTGAATAATATGTTTATTAATTGTAAAAATATAAGCCTTAGAATAATTTAGGGGAATATAATACTTGATTAACATTTGTAGAAATTTGCAACTTAATCTGCTTCGATATTTACAGGATGACAAAAAATGTTTGGTTATAAATTTTTTTGTGCTTATCGAATCATTATCCTGGTAGGAAAATGTCTAACATTATTTGCCGTCATTTTGACGTTAAAATGACGACAAATAACGTCAGTTTGCTACCCGAATAGTAACGTATATTAAAAAAACAAACTCTGTAGTGTTAGTTACATCTTATTAACTTAGTTATATCTTATTAAAACTTTGATATCTTATTAATTACCACACTTTTTTGTCACACTGTACATGTTTTGGAGCATATTCAAATTAATATTGAATAATAATGTAAACGATATTGAGAATTGACGAAAGCCACGATAAATTTCCTACAAATTTCGAATTTTAATGATTAACAAATACATAAAAAATGTTGTGAAAATTTTACGGAAAATACTTTTCCAATTTACAGTAACAGTTTATTTGCGGGACATTAGAGTGAAATGGAATAATGAAAATAATTGACGATGATCGAAATTGACAACGTGGGAAACTGCAGTTAAATCTCCCGCGCTGTTAAATTTCCTCGCAGACTTCGTCCCCCGCAATAAAAAATAAAAAAGAAGAAACGAGTACAAGGGAAATCGTATTTTTCTTTTTCGCTCTTCTTTTTTTGGTTCACGTATGTCTCGCTGGAGGCTGCAACGAAACATACGCGAAAAATGGCGGCGACAGCTGTCGACGTGCGAGTTTCGATGTCGTCGCAAAATTCTGTATCGTAAAACTCGGATATGAAGCGCAGTCCTCGCGGCAAAATTATTGCCAGGCGAAACCGGGCGCATATTCTAGCTACTATTGTTACTCCATGTAATAATAGTTTTGATATTTTTTTTTTTACAAAGATAATTATGATAAACATAGTACGATAACGTGAACATAGTACGCGAGTGATAAACACGGCGTATATAATTATGAATAATGAAGCGAACAATGCTGCTTTTATGATTTCATTCCTGAAGTTTAAATCATGATTTTTTAATTCCAATTGTTCGTGAAAACTTTGAAACAATACCCAAGGGAATTTCAATTTCAAATTAATGAAATAACATGCTTTTAAATTTTTTTAACGTCCCGCACACACGCAGAACTTAATGGAAAAGCTACAAGCTCCCAATTATCATAGGAATAAAAAAATCATCAAATGAGTCGCCTCAGCTGTATAAAAACTGGGACTAAAAAAAGGGAATATCATGTATATAATTTTTTTTTAAATAAACTTTCTCGCACCGAAGAATGGCGTGTTCAGTAATATGAACGAGCACTGTATTTGAGGTGGGTGGACGGGGCGGGGGAGGAGGCCGACAAGAGAGAGAGAGAGAGAGAGAGAGAGAGAGAGAGAGAGAGAGAGAAGAAGAAGAAGGAAGAGGTGGAACGAGCTTCAAGAGTGCCATAATTTACGCTCCACTCGTTTCTTCCTTGTATATACCTAACGTGTACGAATGAAGCATAAATTCACTCTCTGTACCCTCATCCCCTGCCGTTCCTTGTATTTGCGATCTACCGCTGAGGGGAAACTTAACGTTTCGCCACGCGAAACAGGCTGAAATTTTCCGTTTTGAGAACTTTAATTGAGGATGACAGGCCTTCTCTCCGAAACGAAAATTAAATTGCGGTGTTATTAACCCTTTTGCATCAGACTTGTCTCGTCAAATATATTCTGAATTTTTGAAAACAATTATAAAAAAATAGTCCTAAAAATATTTTTAAGTACATATTATGTGCTATAACTTAACTTATATTTTAATAATAATTAATAGTTATTTTTTGTATTTGAAACTTATTCGTCAAAATGTTGGTTGATCAAAATGAAGTGCTCAGTAAACAATTTATAATTAGAATATACATATCTTTATCCCCCTGATAATTATCACACTTAGTAAATAACGTAAATGTCTGTATTACAAATTTGATGTAGCTATTAGGATTTTAGTAGAGGAGACCGAGGACAAAAGCAACATTTTGAAGTGTTTGATTTTGAAGTGTTATAACAGTTAAAATATAATATTTACATTTAAAAAATATGTATCTTTAGATGTAGAATTTATTTAGCTATAAAATTTTTTTTGATTTAATTTTTTTATGTAACTAGAAAAAAGTTATGTTTATTTAAAGACTATGAGGAATTTTGTCACAACCGTTCCAACACCGTAGACTGTTATAACGGTAGAGAGGGATAATTGTATCACATTTGTCAGAGGTACATAACACAACTAAATAAGTCATACTCTTTCTTGCAGCTACACGAATGGATAACTTTATAACTTCTTTAAATGTCTGTTTGCATAAAGACACTTCTTTTATATAATTTTTCTCTTATCTGTCTTATTTTTTCTTGTTAATTAACGCAGCATTCTATGAAGAAAAATGCAAACAACATTTTACAAAATAATACTAAAATAAAATCAAGTAAGTTCGGGGACAATTGTAACGTTACAACTGAGGCGTCGATTGTCCCCTAATGGTATTTTATGATTTATTGTAAATTTTTTAAATAAAAACCTAGATAAAAATTAACTCAAATGTCTCAAACTATCAACGCAGATAATTATTAAACTACATTAAGGCAATACATGATACCTTCGTTATAAAAAAAATATTTTGGATTTTGTGCATGCAGTAAAACTTACTTGATGCAAGAAAAAAGTAATTTCTGCTCCTGCACCAGAACCAGTAACGAACGATTCAATGCCGATCTGTCTACAGAATTTTACTATGCAGCCGCATACACATATATTATTATAGTTTAAGAAATATATAATATTAACGATACTATTATCACTATTATCCTCTTGTTACTTTTGTCTTTGGTCTCCCCTATGTAAACTTTCAAGAGAAAAAAACTGTAACTATTTATTTTTACAACGTAACTTTCCCAATCCTGCATTGAAATCCACTATTGAAACTATTTCGTAAAACTTTTAGATAGAATTTAAATCTCATGATTAAAAAAATTACATAAAAAAAATTTTAATATACATTTGCAGAGGTTTGAATTAATTAATTTCAGGACCCTCGCAGATATATAACCCCACTTGCACTTGGCGAATAACTAGAATTCTTGCTGAGCTTTAATGAAACAAACGCATTTCGAGTACAGCTCGATTTCTCGGGAAAGGGATAGGAAGGGGTTGGAAACGAAAGGGGATGATCGCGACGGGACGGCGCGGCTCATAAAACGACCCCACAGCCTCTCTGCGAGTTTCTCCAGAGATACAGCACGCACGGTTTCTTGTCCGACTAGCCACCCCTTCCCTTCCTACGTCATTCACCCTCTTTTTCTCTCTTTTCTTTCGTCCTTCAAGTCCGTTAGGTAGCGTACAAGCCCACTATTTATGAGGGATTTGCCCGCGAGGGTGGAACACACAATTTCCACCGATATACCTACCACTGCTTTCCCTCGTCTCTCGCTTGTCTTTCCCACTTCTTTCCCGGTTTGTCCCAATTTTTCTACCCCATAACCTCTAACGAGAGCAGGCCTGAACGAGGATTGTTTTTCATTGATAACCACGAGAGTGGTTGGTTCGGTCTTTTTATTATATTGACGCTTGTTCGGGGAGCGTATCTCTCGTTCGTGTCTCTCGAATCGAACACAAAGGAAGAAACGCATGAGCATGTTTTTTTAGTCTATTTACTTATGCATTACTCCCTGCAAATATCAGTTCATCTGCGTTGAATTCGCATTGTGTTGGCACAAACTATTTGAAATATTTATTTAAAGATATTAAAATAAGATTTATTAATGTTTTATTAAATTAGTAAAAAAATTGATTACAATTTATGAATTTATAAATAGATATTAATATAAACTAATGGATCGATCTACATTAACGTCAACACACATAACTAACAATAACTACCTTTTCAGGAGCTGCGGCGGCGTCGCGAGTTTATGTCGACGCTTTGTCCCGATTAGCCCGTCAAGCTCAGCTGGGAACATGGGGTGGCTCGAAGGATGTGGGTAAGTGAGAACTCCAAATTGATTAATTTTAACGGAGAACATGAAACAAAACTCATTTCATTCCATTCAGCATTCGACTGAATCAGAAACTCTCTAATCAGAGTCAAGACTCGAAACAGCCACTTTATTTTAATTATTTTCAGATCTGTATCAATTTGTATATATCTAGTTAAATTTTTAGATACTTTAGCAAAAGTATTTCTTTATATGTATAATAAGTAAAAACACGAAATTTGGATAAGCGGAGGAATGTGATTGTTTCAGTCTCTTTCGGAGACATTTAAATATTTTGTAAGAAAAACTTTTTTTTTTTAAATATAGATAGTATATATTTTCTTTATTTTGTTGAATGATTGATCGATTTTGCGTTCGATTCGTTTCCTCGAAACCAGACGAGAAATAAAGCAGTTCTCGTTTTCGAGAATCGAAGTTTGCATTGCTCTGGAACGAGGTGAGCTTTACCGAGGCTTCCAAAGCCAATAAAGCGCGTTTAACCATCTCTAAGCTCGAAAGCTCCTAGCACCCTTTCGTCTTTCCGCCTCCAGACGCCGATGAACGAAAGTTGCTAACAAGATCATTGCAGCGTGATAAGTGTACGTATTAAGCTCAGGTCGGCGACCCGCGTACGAAGCTTGCGAGCCTCTTAAAGCAGGCTAAGGTGCAGACTTAGGAAGCTTTCCAAGTGCCAACGACCGAGGTAAAGTTTTTATTTGTTCGGGGAGAAGAGCGAAATCTGATCAGTCAAGGTGGATTCTTTATCAGAGATTTTCACTGGTTATATCGTATTGATTTTTGGATCTTTCGATTTTGGTCACTATTTGCTACGCAAAATAATCTTTTCTAAAATACAATATACGTATAATTTTTATATTAACCTTTAAAAAATGGAGAAAGTCACTATAATGTTGCAGAAACAATGTGATATTTTGAGACAAAAAATACCATGTAAAATACAATAACAAATTTTACACTAAAAAAAATTTATTAAATATTTTTTTAGTAATACTAACAATAAATAAACATTTACGTATATAGTAAATAAATATTTACTCGATAACAAATTAAAGATTAGTAAGTTAAATTAACGGTTTTTATATGAAATATAAATATATGTTTACATCTAGTAATTATTTACTTAAAACTATTTAAAGAAATATTTATTAAAATTGCATATTTTTTTTAATGTGCTCAAGCTAAGTTTTTAAAAATAGATCTTCGTCTTCTAAAGGTTAAACATTTGCGTAAACATTGAATGATTAAAAGCAGTAATTATTCTAGAGTATCTGTATTTTATTGATTTTAACGCGCGCATTAAATCGGATTCAAATCTTGACTGACACGAGAAATGGATTGGTTGTAGTTATCCTTTGCAATAACAATTACCGGCAAACATGCAGCGACCGTTCCGGCAAAGATAATTTTCGATGAGATAATTTACGGCGAATTACGCCTGCGGTAATAACGCATTAATGCGTAAGAGAGAGAAAGGGCGAGAGAGAGAGAGAGAGAGAGAGAGGGGAGGAGAGACTATCATCGAACTTGGAAATGGGACATTCAATTAATCGAATTAATAAATTCACCGATCGAGTTATTTGCAATTTTGCATACTATGAAAATTTGTACGCTCGCGAGGATGCTCGCTAAAACCCCCGTTGTTTCGAGCATAATTAATTAGCGCGTCCTGAATTAGCTATTTTATTTTACAAATAACGCACGTCTCGCAACGTAGAAATTGTTGTTTATCGCGTTCGCGCAGTCTGCTGCAATTTGTTGTGTAATTGCTCGAGTATGTTTCGTCCGTGCTATATTAATTGTATTATTCTTCAAATCTTCTCCGATCGTTTATTTGGCGACTCGCCCGTAAAATTAATTTATTTTGTTGGAAATAATTTCAGGGACTATCAAGAAAAATTAAAAGCGCGAAATAGATACAATGCAATATTTTAAAAACGTACATTAACGTTTGCCATTATTACTATTATGTATTAAATAAAGAATATATTTGAAACAATGTGACGCGTGAAATATGAGATAAAAATATAGAGATACGAATATCATAGAGTGTGTTATTAATAATTATTTCAAACAAGCATTGTGCACAAAATTTACATAAATCCGTTAATAATTAACGAGAAATTCCGTATAACTTTCAATAATTTTACATAATCAATATAATTTCCATGTAATAGCCGTTCAATTCATGTTCAATTCACTAACTCGAATATCCGTAAACGTAACAATTCACAAAATACAGTAAAAAAATCTCATGGATTCTAATTAATTTCAGATATCGTTCATTTCCGCAAAATCAAGAAATTTGTCATTAAATTTCTAATAATCAAGCACAATTCGAAGACTTTGTTTTGGGCATTTGCCGCAGCCGAAATAAATTGCCTTTTGTGCGATTCGTATCCTAAAAGGATGCTCGGGTGAAAACGCAATAAACACAATAAACTTAAGTTATTCATGTAATGAACCGATACATGAAGAATGGGGCGGGAAGGAATTTAAATACGCCATGAAGCGATCGCTGTAAGATTAATAGTCGCGTTTTTCGGCGCCGCGGCGCAGAATCGCGGATTAAAATTCTACGGCAGCGGCGTCGACGCAGCCGACCGTGTAAACGCGCTTTAATAATAATGTAAACGCGCAACGAATGGGAATTAACGCGCGCTCGCACCACCGTGAAACAAGAGAGAAGAGGGCGGAGGACAGACGGCCGTTGAAATCCGCCCCTAAACCCCGCTTGGCGTTCGCCACTATGAGAGAAGGAGCGAAGGAGATAGCGGCGCATAATTGCATTAAATTATCGAGGTCTGAATTATATATGTATTGGTATCACGTTTTTTTTTAAATGCCATCGATTAAATATAACACAAATTGCGGGCGGAATTCGTTGAATTCGCGAGATTCCGCGAGCATCTCTTTTGTGTTCTGTGATAGAAGGGGTGAATCTATCTACTTTTCTAAATACATTTATTGATTATCAAACAATAATCCTGATTTTCAAGTGAACGTATCAATAATAAGCACGAGTGATAAACGAAATAATATGAACCTGAGAAATATTATACATTTTTTTTTTACTACTTGTTTTATTAATAAGAAGCCTATTTACTTTTAATTATGATTGCCACAAAAACGGGAAGTCAGGGAATTTTGCAAACTTCTCTTGAGAATTAACATTTTTGGCTTTAAAGAAATTTAATACACATATATATCGCATACCTATGCAGTTTTGGAACACTATATCAACTTAATAATTAAACATGCGAGTATCAGCAACATTAATAGTAATTTGATTGCTACATTAAACTCAACGTACTAAACAAAACGTTTAACAGTTTCCAAAAGTTATAAAATTTTAGGATGAGGAATTTGTGGCAACTCTGTTGGAAACAAATAGCTTTCAGCGAATAAGCTTTCTAATAAAATAAATATATAATATGTTTCTCAGGAGTTAATGTTATGTAGAGTTTTGTCTATCCTCTGTCTATTTAACTCTTTTTAATATCTATTTTCCGTTGTTTTATACCGATTTAGCTAAAGGGGCAGATAACTTTATAATTAAATAAAGAGTGCGAGAGATTATTCACAAAACGAAAGATATTTCGTTCGATCGATTTGTCACCAATCGGGAAACGTACATCGGACTCCAATTCCATGTATGTAGATATATATATCGGGTATGCTTCGCACTTATCCGCTTTTCGCGCGCCGACTGTCGAGAGCCACACTTGCTGCAACTTTAATTCCGCGCCGGAAGTCTTCTGCGAGAGAAGCGGCAGTAAGGAGTGCTCCGCAAACAGCGAGTCGTACAAACATCTCGTTGAACATTTTCTTACGTTTCTGTACAAACCACGTTTAATAACGAACGTATCACGAAAAATTCATGATGCTTCTATTTGTGCAAGTTAAATCTATCGCGATTCATCCACTTAATACAGAATTTATAATAATAAATACAGAATTAACGTTTCATCAAATCGGACTCTGTCGCATTAAATTTCTAATACAGTTTTAAAGAATATAAATCAAAAAAGTGTAAATGCCAGTTAGAGTCAAAACTATTAGGTGTTCATTGGTGTGAATTCGAATTCTTTGTTGAACAACAAATTTAATTAGACGTTTCGATCTCTTGCTTTTGGGTTGTCCTCGATAATTACAAAAATGAAAATATGCCAAAATTATTACGTGGAGATTAACGTAAAAAAATGTGAAATTAATTTAAATGACATTATTAGAAATTCGACGTTTAATCTTACAATTATTATGTGTTATAACATCTTTTGAATTGTGCGTTTTACGCTTCAACCCTGAGGGTAAAAATTTTAATAAAAAAATGTTTGTGTGAAAATTTTAGATCTACATTTTTCGAATATGCAACACGTCGAATTTCGCGCACCCCGTCGTAATCTTTGCGCGAAATTTCGCGAGCAATGGCGGGATGGAGTTGCGGCGGAAACACATCGGTCTCGATCTACACGCGATTACGTCTATGGAAATTCGTGCAGGAAGCACGGGCGACACTCGGGGAAATCTGTTTTCACTGTTCCCTCCTCCAACCCCTTTCCGTTCCTTTTCCTTAAACCGCTCTTCCGTTCAGCCGCGAAGGGGAGTCGCGAAAATTCGTAGCTCACGATGTTAGCGCGAGGCGAAATGAAAATGCGACAGCGAAATTGCCAATATCGTCACCCCAGATTTTCCTTGCTCCGCCGGCCTTCTTCCGCTCCCTCTAGCCTTTCCGACAGTGGGACGATCAAGGAAATCCGCTCGATCCTTCCTTTTTGCCAAATAAGTTTACTTCTCACCACTCGTGAGATGAGAACTAAAAAAAAATACAAAGTTTTTAAATAACAATCACCCCACGTCAAGATAGCACGTAGAAAGAAAGTGTGTGGTTGAATTAACTAGAATACTGATGAAAAATCAAATGATGAACAATCCAGAATTCTAGTTAAATCTATAAGATTTCCGGTTAAATTTATTAAAATTCTAGT